TTTTTTCCCTTCAGTATGTGAGGAATCCAGATATCCACCTCAGGTGAAATAGAGTTACATGGGAGGATTTCCTCCCTTTAATGAAAACAGAGATTATCAGCAAGAATTTGAGGCTATGGAACTATCCCATAAGCACCAAACATAAGAAGAATTGTGATCAAATGTCAGAAGTGGGTAATGCTGGACATGAGCAAAGGCAGATAATTTCTGCATATCACATTTTCTAGTGAATTAATTTGGCACCATTCCCAGACCTTTTTTTTTTCCTTTTCCCTTTTTATTTAGTTGTTCAACTTTTCTTGGATTGGCCCATTTTGGAAGGCCAGTTTTTTTGATTCTCCCCGGAAGGGTTTTTTTTTTTTGTTGATTCTTCCTTTTGTTTTTATTTTTTCTTCCGGGTTTTTTGCGACCCTTTCCCTTGGGCCGGTTTTGTTCGTTTTGAAAATTGGTTTTCTTCTTGGGGTTTTGAAAAACAAAGACATTTTAACAGACTATCCAAATTGCTTCAATAAAACTGTGCACCAACCTTTTAACAGCAGAAAAGGAAAACATAATGGAGGGAGCGACCAACGTACCAGTCACCCCACCACTTGCCATTTTCTAAATGGCACAAGGTCTTCCTCTTATGAAAGGAGGATAAACTCTGAGTGTTTTGTTTTCAGCCTCTTTGATACTCTATTTTCAACATGAGGAGTCCTAGAAGAGCCTGCACAACACATAGCCACAGAAAACTCACAGCCTCCAAAGCTACTGGTGAAGATACCTGACAACCTGGACAGAGTCATGCGGAAGAGACCAGCTCCTGGCTGACCAGAGAGCAACCATCTCCCACTGTCACATTCCACAACCCATCCAATGACATCTCAGAACAAGATGGGAAAACAAGCAACAGCATTGAAAGGAACACTGGAAAGCAGGAGAGGGGTGGAAGCCGTGGAACATACAGGGAATAATAAGGATGAAAGGTGAAAAGAGCAGTGATCATTGCACTGTGTGAGGCATCAGAGGTGTTACATTAGAGAAGGTGTTGATGGAGTGAAGATTTGAGCATCCCACACACACTCCTATCAGATATCCCAGCTACTGACATAAACAGAAATGAGAAAAGCAGAACATCATCTGGCTTTATTTTAAACTGTCCCTGTAAGCGGTATCAGAGAACCTTCTCTGCAGCAGAGCATCATGAGAGATGGGCAAGACAGCCTTAAGCCTTGGATGCCACAGTTGTTAACTCAAGAGTTCTCTACACCTCAGAGAGGTTCGTGTTTTTTCCATGTAGCTTTTCCCTCAGATATGGGTAGATCTGGAGAGATCCATAGTCATGGCACCAGCAAGCTGAAGACCTCAAATGCCTAACTAAAGCCAATAAAGCCCATGAGTCACAGTCTCAGGGGAATCAGAGCTACTTGGCACCTACCCAGAGAAGGTCAATTGGAGCATGGGGAGACTATTTCTAAATACCCCAGAGCTTTGCCACTGGGAAAAATAAATAGAACTATGTATCTTGTTTCCATATCTTAGCGGGCTAAATAAATAGCTCTCACAGGGCACTCTCCAGGGCAGATTCTTAAAGTGACCTTGGCCCTGCTGCAGCCCAGGACAGGGGAACGCGGGTGTACCCACCAGAGAAGCGGTGCATTTTCAGTGCTGCATTCCTGGCAGCTGATCAGAGAGCCAGGGTAATCTCAGCTCCCACAGTTGCCGGCTGATCCTTCTCAGCAAAAAGGCAAACCATGGTAGCACATAGTTATGAAGTGGAGAGAAGGTATCAAGAGCAAATACAAAGTGAGGGTCAAAGGATTTCTGGGACAACATTGGAATTTTCCTCTGTTGGTAAGTTAGAGGCTGGTGCTCTCTACAACCTCCCTGTTGATAGCCAAAAATAAACAGATGTTTTTGTGACCAAGAACCACACCAAACTACCACACTCCCAATTTCAGCATAGCCACAGCCACTTTGGGAAGAGCTGCACCAGTGTCAGATAGCTGGGAGCACACGCTGAGGTAGACAAAGAACATGACCTCTTTTTATCCTTTCTCCCCAGCTCAGAAAACCCATCCATAAGCTCCCCACCCCAGTCACCTCACACAGCTTTAGCTAGAGCAAGTCAAATCATGGAAGGACATTTTCTGCACACATACCTACCTCCATTTTCTGATGAGCTGCAAGGATGCTTAGGGCTTTCAGACTACAGCTATTCCAGGCATTTGCTAATGCTGGGAGAGAAGATCTGTAACCCGCTCTACAGTCTGTTCTTCTAGGCTCAAGACCTAAATTCTTACCAACAATGTCTCCTAAAGCCACTTTCCACAACAAAAGTCGCACTTCCAAGTGAACTGCAAACAAACAGAGCCTCAACTGGCTTATGAGAAACTAGTGCCTTTTAATAGGTTGCAGTTGTGTTTTAAAACAAAACAGGCTTGTGTGGTTCTTCTGATGTAAAACAGGCTGTCTCCACTGTGCCACTAAGCTTCTCAGCTGCCTCTAGTTATGAAACAAAAGGCACGGCTCTGAGCCCTGGGTAGGTCAGCTGAGTGGCCACCAGGCTTCAGCTGATTTATGGTTCTTGTTCATTAGACCAAGAGCAGGTGGGAGCCAAATCATCTTTACCTGTGAAACGATTGTGTAAAGATTCTTTGTGCCATTTTCACACTCATGAAAAATACGTTTTAAGAAGAGCATAAATATTTTAGGAAATAAAAATAAAATTAGGAAACTGAACTAGCAGTGAGAAATCTCAGGTTGACAAAAAATAATGCACAAGACACCTTTTTTCAAATGAAAAATAAATTCAAGCTTTTCAGTAATAAATAAAAAGGCTTATTACCTATAAAATGGGATTTACTGAGGGCAATTTTGAGTTTTCTTTTCTGATGTTTGTGTCTATGTTCAAGTGGGAAAAAATTCCCACAGAAGAATTCTAAACAATCCTTGTACACCAGATAAAAGGAAGTAAAAGCTAAATATTGCATATTGACAGTGTGGAATCATTTAAATCAAAAGCAGCATGTTTCTCTGATTGTTTCCCTTAGAAGTATTTTAGAGCACTTTAGAGACTACATTTAGAGCGACCCTCAGCAACAGTCCCTGCATCTCCTTGTATCTCAGCAAAAAGCCCGGCTAGAAAGGTGTGAGAGACAACAAGGTTTCCACTTCCTCTATGGGAAATAGTCAATGGAAAATAAAGCACTTCTGCACAAAATTATTTTTAAAAGACTTTAGGCAACCAGTCCCATTGCTTAACAGAAAACTGATACAGGCACCAGTCCCATCACACACAGATCCTGGCCTATCACAGAAGCAGAACTAAAACTGGTCTTATCACAGCCAACAGTTCCACAGGAAAATGGGGAATTGAGTGGAATTTGCTTAGTTAAGCAGGGGCTTGAACCCATCAATCACTTTTGGTTGCCTCAGAAGCCAAGCTCCGCTCTTGGTCTAACTCCTTCTGGCTACCCCTGTCATACATAAAACAGTTCTCCAGGCTGCCTAAATTTTAAAGTTATTACATGAGGCCTGAGGGGAATGTTGAAGGATGCTCAGATATCCTAGGAATAAAGTATTACTGGTAATATTCTTTGAGTTGGGTAATATCCAAATGCCTGTGTTAGAAACATCCTGGTGGAACTCAGGTACTTTGTCTAAGAGAGCTGAAGCTGTGAAGTAGTTCCAGGTACTTGGCACTGTGCTAGAAAGCCAAAAACACAGGCAAAAGTGAGTTGGCTCCCATCAACAAGGCAGCTGCAGGAAGTTGTGCATCTGCTGGTCTCCCTCAGTATTGTATTTAGAAAAGTAAACTGTCCAAAAAAATTGTGTATCTCCAGACATTCAGGCAGAGGAACTAGAAGAGAGCTGCACTTCTCAAACAACAGTACTGTGTGTTGATGTGCAGCTTAAGCACTGGTGGCTGGTGGAAATGAATTCAAATTCCTTCCCAGTTATTGTGTAAGTCATGATATTGAGAGAATTGGTATCACTCTTTGATGGTAACAGCAGGATGGGTATTATTTAACACATCCAGGGTGACTGGCCCCCATTTCAACCACAGCTAAGCGAGCTGTGGCCAAACTGTTGTGCTGTGTCTGTCCATCCTTCTCACCTCGTGCTCCAGCTGAAGCTGCTTCCTCAGCAATCACCAGCCATGGTCTCACCCATGTCAGGTCCATGCAGAAGCCAGGACTGGCTGAATGCTGCCTTGTCCTTGCTGACACATGCCTGAGCAAGTAGGGACTGTGCCCCACAAGCCATTGCATGTCCCAGCAGGAGAACTGGCAGCTTCTGTGTGGCTTAAGCGAATGGGATTGTGTGGGCACAGCTCACAGCAGCAAATTCTTCCTCCTGCTTTTGAAGAGCAAGCCAGAGATACGTGCTTTGCTCTCATGAAGTTTGGCTTGAATGGCATCTGAGAAAGTGGTCAGAACAGACAGCTTGGGGACTAACATTCAGCATTAAGATGAAGATATAAAATGGACTTGATGTCTTCAGGAAAGAACTATTTGAAATATGTGGGATGGGCTTAAAAGCAGATGCAAATTAATACTAGTAAGAACTGTCATACTTCAAAAATATCATGATGATCAAGTCATGACCCTCTGCAAATGGAGGATGAGGCAGCACTGCCACAATTCCACTCTATCTACCCCCAGGCTGATGGTGGCAGGCAGTTCTGGCTGAGTGGGAGGCAGGAGTGGCTTGTCTGCTGCCAGCACATGCTGCTCCAAACCCAGTTGTGGCTGGGAAAGGAAGGAGGGTACCTTGCAATCAAACTGCCATCGCTGTCTAGGGCACACTACAAATAAAGGGCCACCAGCATGAATCATATGATGAATCACAGCATTAACGTGTCCTTCAGGGAACTATTTCTGCCTCTTAAAAAACCCTGCAGATTTAAAGTGAGTGGAAACTGCATACATTTCTGATTTCTTTGCCTCTTCAAGTGGAACCAGAATTTTATTTCTTGCTGTCCTGGAACGATGAGTTCCCTTGGGGCTACTGCCTACCTGACCGTCCTGACGTGTCTCTTGCTGTAGGGAGTGATGACTTTGAAAAGCAGCTCCATGGCTCCATTGATGCCAAGCATAGTTCCCGTGGTAACTATGGCAATAAAAGGAAAAAAGCAGTCAGCTCTGAAGGAGGCAGCTGGCAAACATTGCTTAGAAGAGATGTGGGGAAGAGCAGCTGCCCCTGGGGCTATGAGCTCTCTGGGCTCCCATCTGGACTCCACAGGTCCCCTTAAACACTGAAAGTGAAGCACAAAGCTGTCTGTGGGCACAACCTGAGCCAAAATCAGGTGCAAAATCAGTCCTGCAGCTCTTTCCCAATTTCCCCAAAGCCCCTTTTCCTGTACACATTGTACTCTCCAGAGAACAAATTATAATTAAACAGGGTCTTCTCCCAGAAAAAAAATGACAGAGCTCAAATTCATCCCACATTTTCTACATGCAACTCAATGAGGACAGCTCATTTCATAGGGGCTTAAAGGGCAGGGTTTTCTTTCTGTCCTGTTATTCAGCAGAGTGCAAGTGGGTTTGGGGGGCATCTGAATGCAGTTTTATTTCATCTAGGCTGATTTTCCTTTTAATCCTTCACTTTTTAACAGACTAGGAACTTCTTTAGATAGATTTTGCAGTTTCAATACCTAATGCATAGCCTAGGTGTTTAGCCAGACCTCCCCACTCTGAGAGAGGATATCTCTGTGTAATGAAGGAACAAATACAGCCCTGAAATATTAAATGGATGCGACCAAGGTGAAAGGATCAGTAATCAACAGCAGCCAGAAGGAGCCCTGGCTGCCTGCCCACTGCTGGGTTTTGGCTGTTTTGTAGATATCTCCCAGTGGTCATCAGAGAGCTGCCAGAGGGCTCATCATCTCCTGCTGTCCTACCGTGTCCCTGCCAAGCTGTCCTGTGATGGAAAGCCTCCAAGGCCTGCCAGCTACATTCACACTGCCTGGCAATTCATTAGAGCCAGGCTGGTGGAGAAGGCTGCTCCAGCTCATCCTGCTCCAGAGCAGGATGTGAGCAGCCACAAACATCTGGTGGCAGTGAAGGGAGCAGCCAAGAGCGGGGCATGAGGTGAGACAAGGACTTATTTTACTATTTTCATACCTAAGCACTCTCAAGAGCTTTGTATGGTTCTGGATTCCCTTGTGTTCCTCTCCATAATTTTTAAGGCTGGGAGCATGTAATCCCCTGGTTTGATATCACACCCATACAGGTTTTCACCTAACCCAGAGGCTTCCCAACTGGGCCACAGAACCCACAAATTCAAAGTTATTAATGGAGAGTGCTGGAGATACCTGGAGAGTAACAGAGATGCTCCAGCAAAGGTGCAGAGCTGGGGCTCTAGGGTCTGATATTAACAGAAAGGAGGACAGGCTGCAGTGTGCATCCTAAAACCTCTGCAGAAACAGCAGCTGAACTGAGTGCAGGTGCACTGAAGCAGGGAGCAGGGAAGTAGGCAAATCATAACTTTGAGTGAGAGGCAGCACAGGGTCACTGCACAGCTGTGAAACCCAAATAAAGGCACATTTCATCTTCTGGCTTTGGCTGCATTTTCATCCACACTCAGACTTTCAAATACTGCTTATCATGGGGAGAGGGGTTGAGTGTTGAGGCTTGGCTGCTTGCCTGAGGAAACCCAAAGTATGAAGCCAGCTCCTGTCCAGGCAGAAGGGACCTGCAGGGCTGGGCGCCAGGAGAGCTAAATCTCAGGATGCACAGAGCAGGCTGCAGACAGGATGGCCATCAAGAATTATCTGCTGGGTGAGGGATGTACAGAAGGAGAGGAAAGGGTTAGAGTGAGCAAAGGGAAATTTGTGCTGAAGAGCTCTGTGCTTTATAGCACAGAAAGCCAATATGAATCTGTAATGATCCTGAGAGAGAATACTGGAAATCTCTTTGCTTGAATCCTTTAATACGAGGGCATTGCCAAGCAAGAAAAGCTGGGAGAGTGAACATCTGAGGGGATACTAGCCAGAAAACCAGGATCTAATATCTGCTTCTTGGGGGACCTTGAATAAGTAACAGATTTCTCTCACCCTCTGCTTCTCCACCCTCATGGAGCTGCTCTGAGGATCAATACAATCAACAATAGTGAGACATTTGGCTGTTATGGTAATGGCAACTGTATAGAGACTTAAGTCTCAGAGCAAAAGAATTGACTATATATATTCCAGAATAGGAGATCTTTGCCATGAATATTTTTCACTACAGCACTTTTATTTCCATAGCTCACAGATGAAATGCACTGTAAAGGCTGCATAGGCCCCTTGAGGAGCACCTTTTTCTAAGGTTGTTCTGGCTTTTGTGCTTTTCTGTGTATTAATGGTGCATGCAGGCACTAACCCTACCTGGAATAATGTTTCTTTGCATTGAAATGAGTAAAAAAGAACCCTGGTGGCTGTCACACAGAAGAAAAGAGGAAAATCCTGGCACTCACCATTAGAAGCACAAACCCTCAGGACCCAGAGGCAGTGGGTGAGGAGCAGGTGGTGGCCCAGGTGTCTTCTTGTCAAGCTCAGTATTATATCAGTGGCTTCTGCCTTCTGCACTTTAAGCCCAAACTTCCTATCTGTGAAAAGAAAATGAGAATTAAACTATTGCAAAGGCCAGGTCATTGCAGCTGCGCTGCTAAACTTATGTTTATTAAGACCTGTAACTCAAAACCTTATAAGAAAGGTATTTGAATGTATCAATGAGTTAAACCAATATTAATCTCACTGAAAATGGAAAAACATGGGGTTCGCTTTGAGTCACCATATATGAAACACAGAAGAGACCTTTAAAGGCCACTTAGTCCAAGCCCCCTGCAATGAGTTGCACCAGACAAGGTTGCTCAGAGCCCTGTCCAACCTGACCCTGAATATTTCTAGGAATGGGGCATCCACCATCTCTCTGAGCAACCCATGCCAGAGCCTCATCATCCTTATCATGAGATATTCCTTCTGTACATCTTATCTAAATCAATCCATTACTCCTTGTCCTGTACCAACAGGCCCTACTAAAATGTCTGTCCCGTCTAGCTACTGGAAGGCCACCATGAGATGATCCTCATTTTTGCCCTCCGCCTAGAAGCCCCCCGGCAGGCAGCAGTACCTCGTTGGCCCACCCTGGCCAGCAGCCGCAGCAGGGGCAGGAGGGTGCCGTGGTCGGGCGGCTCCGTCCGGGCAGCCGTGGCCAGGGCCTGCAGCAGAGCCTCACTGCCCCCCTTGCTGACCACGTAGTGAATCCTCCGTCCAGTGCCTGGGAAGAGAGGAGAGACTGCTCAGGACATCCCCTCACAGCCATCACAAAGCCTCAATCTGCCAGGAGCACTCCACGGAGCTTCCACGGCCTTCAGAGAATATTTGAGTGCCGTGAACGCACGAGCATTTGCAGAATGGTCCACGAGTCTTTGGGGACATGGGTGGTGGCTGCATGGTGGAACTGTGTGCTCTGCTGCCTGTTTCCACGACAGACAGTCGTTGTCTCTTCAGACCCACGTGCTGCAGAAGTTTTTCACTGTGCATTGAGATGTGGCAGAGAGGAATAAGCAGTGGCACCGACAGGTTTCAAAGCAGCAAAAGGCTCAGTGATCTGTTCTTAGATACTGGAAATTAAACAGGGAAAGAACTGAAGCTGCACTGGGCTTCTGCCAAATGAAAAGGAATCCTAGGGAAGCCTTGGGGAGAGCTTTCAAATAAATGGAGGTCTCCAAAGAACCCACACTCCAGCCCTTGGAGCCTTACCGTGTTAACAAATATTGATCCAGGCTCTGTGGTTGGGGGATGCTGCTCCTTCAGTTCCCCATGGAGGCCATCCTTGCACCCAGCTGGGGAACAGGGATGCAGGGCTCCAAAAGAGAGGCCCAGATGGACAGGTGATGTCTCTGGTGGGGCTTCCAGGAGTGGGGGACCCAGGAGGATCCAGAACTCACCAATGCATCCCCCACAGCCTGGCAGCTTAGTTGGGTTGGGAATTGTTTAGCAGATCATATTTTTGTGGTGGAGCAGAAAGGAAAAAGAACATGACTAATTTTTTTTAGTTCTTTTGCCAATACACTTATTTTTTTTTGTGCAGCTTTGAGCACATGAAGTGACATCCATTCCCTGTAGCCCCAAGGCAGAATGCCTTTGGGAGGCAGGCTGAACCCTCTGAATTAGAGTGTCCCTGGGCTCTGAAAAGTCAGGTACCTTTCCCTGTCTCACAGTGCTTTCTCCAATGGCACTGGTAAACATTTCCAGTGGTTGACTGCCAGGGATTATGAAATACTCTGCAACCCATGGGCATCTTCGAAACTAAAAAGAAAAAGTTGAAACTTTCTCTGAGTCTCTTTATCTTTTCTATAACACATGAAATAAGTTCAGTTTTCCAAACACAGGAGTAAAGACTGATGGTCTATAGATACAATTTGTATTTTTTTCACCTTGCTAACACCTAGTCAAGTTTGAATGCAAGTATGAATTCCCAGACTTACTTGAGAATCCCTTTCCTGCCCTAGCCCACAGCCATTGCCACAAATCTTTGCTTCCTTACCCAAAGACAGCAAGTCAGTGAGGACACTGAGAATGTTCAGGATGACATCCTTGTCACAGGAGCTCTGGAATAGAAATACACCAAATTTACAGATCAGTTCAGAACAGGACACTTTGTGCTGCACAGGGCTGCAGTGCCGGGCACTGAGATCCTTATTTGGACACTGAGCATTTCTGTGCCATCTGGACAGTGAATATGTGGAAACATATTGATGACATATTTTAAAAGCCTCTAACATATCATACTACACAGTATTTAATACACAGTAGCATTTCTGTAGAACTTACATCTAAATTCTAAGCTAAAGCTCTCTTTTTTGGTGTGATCTGGCTACCCCAAAGTTGAGGAAATTCTGTATCACATAGAAATGCTAAATGTGAGGTGGCTTTCCATGAGAGCATCTCTTCAACTGCAGTTGAAGAATAATATATTTAAATTATATTAATCCCATCTATAAGAAAATTCTCCTGTCTTTGCAGCCACAACCATTTGGAAGCCTTGAACTTAAGAATAATTCCTAAATTTATTTTTAAACTAATATAATTTAATTTTAAGACCAAGTTACCACAACACTTTGACATGACACATTCTGCTTCAGTGTCACTTTAAATTTTGCATTAGAGGAAATAAGATGCAATGCACTTGAGGAGAAGGAAACAATGATATCTACCATCCATCTGTGTGATACACTAGACCCCTTCTTTAATCCTGCTTCAAACAGATTTCACTGCTGTGATTCAGAAATTAATCACTGGTCTATATTGCAATTAGAGGGATTTGGGTTAAGACCTGGGTGTCTTTATTTCTGAACAGATACAACAACATATAAATTTCTAATTAATACCAAACTTACATTTGAATAGCCTTAGTCCCAAAGAACCAAGGATCACACAAACTATAACAGAATGACTTTATTTTCAGTTAAATGATGACAATAAGATAACATCTCATAAATATATGGCTCCTATATTTCTGAATGTTGAACTACTTCAGAAACTTAAACCTACCTTGTAAGTTAAACTAACCTGGTATCTAATCCAGATATATGTGATCATTTTACCATCCAAACTGATTCAACCATTCTCTGACATATTTAACATTATGCAACTGTATATTTAAGGAGTCGAGAAGTATCACCTATCAAAAAGTAACTCTAGAAAGAATATTAGGGAAAATCTAATTCAGATCTGTAATAATGACTATGAATACAAATGGACCCTTTTTTCCCAATGGATTCCTGAAAAAGTCACAGCACAGGCTGACAAGTTGCTGAGGATTGTGTAGCTAATTAGGGAGCTGCAGTCCATACCTCCTCCTCTGTTATAGCTGGGGAGGGTATGCATTGGGTGAGACATGGGGATGAAGCAGGAAATTGATGTCTGCAGTCAGAGCAGGTGACTGCCAGCCTAGAGAAACCGGTTTTCCCCCCTTTTCGCGGAATTCTTTTGGGTTGTTTGGCGGTTCCTTGCACCCAATTTTCTTTTTTTTTTGGCAACTTTTCGTTGCCTTTTTTTGCTTGGATTACTTCCTTTATTGCCATTTTTTCTTGGTTTGGTTTTCTTTTCCTTGTTTTTTTTTTTTGGTTTTTTTTTTTGCGGGGGGTCATAATTATTAACAAAAACAAACTCTAAATCTCTGAAAAACAAAGTTTCCCAGCATACTGGTTTTGGTCAATTAGCAGTGCTACCAACCATTCCCTGCTCAATATATATTCCAAGTGAGCCACAGGGACAAGAGGTGTCAGAAGAGGAATGAGAGAAAAGAACAAGATATGGTCAGGGAAGAGGAAGGAAGGAAAGAAGAAGAGTCAGTGAGGATGAGACTGGAGAATCACTTCTGAAATGGGGACTCAGTGGAGAAGGTCTGTGAGCACTGATGGCTTTCCCAAGGCTCAACTTTTGCTCTTAGCTAAAATCCACAGGCAAAGTGTCTGTCTCATCCCCACATCAGAGCTGGCCCATGCCCAGAGAGAGAGCCTGCTGTTTCTCTCCATTATTAACTCAACAAGCAGAGATCTCAGCACTGAACACAAAAGTTCAGCCCTTTTATGATCCATGTTGAAATCAAAAGGCTCAGTGTGATAGGATTGCTGCTCCTTTCAGAGCCAAGACAAACAGAATATGTGGCTTTCATGAAATCCAGTAACTCTGGTTTCACCAAGTATTGCCACCCTCACCTTAGAGGAGCCCAGATTTGTGCCACTGGTTCCAGGGACCACACAGCATGGAAAGTCTGCAGCAGGGTCAGAGCAGTTCTGAGCAGCATTACTCTTGGGTAAAATATATAATTTTAGTCCTATGTTAATCTTCCTAATTCATGTCTTTGTTCATTTGAGCTGGCTCAAGTCTCCCAGACTAAACAAAGAACATTCAGAGCTCTCTTCCCAAGAGTTTCTTGGCATATTTTAGCATTGGGACTTAATAGTCAGGGGCAGGTTGTCAGGAGTGATGAGTATCCATCAAATTTACTGACTCCAGGAAGACTTACTGTTCTCAACACCTTTTTAAATATCAGGGTTGCCTAAATCAGACTGTCCTCTGGTTTTGTCTTGCTGCCTCTCAGTATCCCTTTCCTCTGTAGGTGGATGGATTACACATTAAGGTTTCAGTAATGAAGTCTTCATTGATTTATGCTCCTATTACACTGGGTTGTTTATTTTAACTGATTGGATTGTGGGTTCCTAAGCCATTAACACAAATAGTGATGACATAAGATATCCTCTGACTTTCCATGCACTTTATCCAGGGACTCAGGCAAACAAAGAACTTGAGGGAACACGAAAGATCAACCTTTAAAATGCGAAAATTAAAGCTGGGTGATATTGCCAAATATTTTACCTGAGTGTTTACTCTTGGTGTTTTAACACTAAAATTCTGTCTTGGTGCCTCATTGCTCCCCTTCCTGCTGCACACTGCTGAAGGAGTTAGATAACTCATGTGTTGGCTGAAACAATGGATAAAACCCCAGTCCCATTACAAAGCATCACTGAATAATACAGACTTCTGTAGAAGAGCACAGCTCCCATTTATAATAGCAAGACAATACAGAAAAAAATCACAGAAACAACGCAGAAAAAAACCACCCTAAAGTTGCTATTGTCTTGCTAGATGACAACTTGCCTCTTGAAAAGAAACAGCTCAGATTTTGACTAATTAGCTTCATGTTTTCAAAGTCATCAACGATATTTGGACATTGAAATATATTAGAATTGATTGTTTAAATTAATACACATAACAAACTCCTTGTGGATGAATTGCCAACATATTCATTCATAAAAAATATTCAGTAAATCTTTGTGAACAGTAAGTACAAATGAGAAAATCACAACTTGTGCCTGATCTAAAAAAGATGAATAGAGTAATTTCTTTAATGCAAATTTCTTACCCTGCTCTGGTAAAAATAAACACATTAGTTATTTTTATTGAAAGAAATGTTTGATGGTTTAAGAACAAACCATAACCAAAGAAACGAGTAAAGTAAAATTCTTCTTGCTAAGTATTTTCCATTCCTGCCAGCACTTACAAATGTTAGATACAGCATCTACATGTGCACAGACTAATGAAGATGCATTTGTTCTATATGGGTGGAATAAGAGCAAAGTTCCCAGAAGCTTAAATTAGATTACAAAATCACTGACCTCCTTCAGGATTTCACTAAAAGGATTTAAAGTTAGAGCCAAATTGTTACCTATTAACAGCAGCCTGTAGTTGCCTTTCACAGCTTGTGGCTGGACAAAGGCTAAAGTAGCAAAAATATCACTTTAAATATCAAGCATGGCTGTACATTTTGGTCCGAGTCCTTCATCTTTCTTAGCCTTACTCCAGCAAAGCATCCTGTCTTCCTCACCCAACCAAGAGTATCACAGGGCTGAGCTCAGATGCATTTAATCAGCTCCTGGCTGAGAGCTCCTCTCTGAGCTTTTTCTGAGAATTAATCCCTGAAACACTGGGGTTAGCTTGGCAGAAGCTCCTCAGAGATAAACAGCAGAAGGATACAGAAAGCCAGGAATAAAAAAATACCCTAGCACATCGTCATTGATAGGTTACAGGCAGCAAGTGTTTAATTGGTGACATTGGGCTTGGAGGACAACAGCTCGATCCCAGCATTTCTGACTGGCAGCTGGGGTTATTTCACTGACCCACGGTTACGCAGGGAACAGCTCCTGTCTCCTTGTTCTGCTCCTGAGAACATGCCAAGACCAGCTGTTATTTACTCAAGACAAGATTATAAAATTGCCACTAAGCCACAGCACCAGGTAACCTCAGGGAAGTCCCTGGGGATGTTTTCCACAAGAGTCAGAAACCCAACAGAGGTGGGATTTTTCTTGTCCAGCCTGGAGGATAGAATCTGTGCCATTCCCCCTCCAGCATTGCCTTCAAACAAAAACATCCCATAATCTCAGTCTTTTGGGCTTTTTGTCTTTTGCCCAAAGGCAGGTATTTCCCTGAATGAGACATACAACCTGCTGAGAGGGTTTGTTGGGAGTCTAAGCATTAATGCTGAAAAAAGGACACCCAGAAAGAAATCAAACACCATTAATTTGTGTGGTGCGAGATTTACTAATAAATATTTTATTTGGGTGAAGAAATACAAAGCAGTTATTCCAATCACAAAAATAATGAATGCAAAATGAAAGAAGTCTCTCTTGCAAGACAATGCATAACACGGTTTCTTACCAATACATCTTTTAAATTAACTGTTGAATTGTCTCACAAAGCTGTGTGACTGCTTAGGAAAAATCTCCCAAACAAACAACAAAACAAAATGGTCTCATTTTAAAGAAAAGGTACTGCTGCACTGGGCTAAAAAACTTCCAGACTTGTTTGTTTGGGAGTTTTTTAGTGAGGCTAAGGAATAAGATATCCAGTTCCAGGGTTTGTTTGTTTATTTGTTTGTTTGTTTGTTTTAAAATAGCCTGTTTCTAAATACGGAAGCAGGGTTTGAACTGTCCAAAATATATCCTCCTCTCTTCTCTTTCCCTTAATAAATTTGCTCACACAAATAGCAGTCAGCAGCCCAACTGCCTGTGTAATGAGACTTACATCTGCAAGTCAGATTTCTCACTTTCTGCACTTGAAGCCTATTGAAGAGAAATTCTTGTGCAAAATTAATACTGCATAAAATCAAGAGCAGGTTAGAGGCTGAGCAGCATTAGTCCTCACTGTCTCCTGAGACCTCTAGAAAATGTTTGGTTCTAATTACTCACTTAATGCTTAAATCAGAGAGTCCTCTGCCAGCAAGGCAGAGGTGCCTAGCAGCCCAAACTCACCACTGCATTATGGATTTGCCAGATGGATATCTCCTTCCCACAGCTGACTATACAGCCTTACAATAACTGTGAAGCCAGGTTTGGTGCCTTATGTTCTGTGCTTTGTCAGAGTAAATTGCTTTTTCTAATTTAAGAGGAGCTAAAAATTCACACTTAACTAAGAGAGCAAAATACACTGGAGAGTTTCTTGTCTGAATGCTCCCATCCTCAGCCTCAATATTCAGCCAGAAAAGCTTGATTTCTTCTTGTTGGAAGGCCCACAGTATTTGTTACCTGGAGGTTTATGGGGGGAAAAAAATCGTTATTTCTGAGGGGGAGAATAGGGGCTCAGAGACCTCTGAAATATCAGTAGTAATGGAGGATTCCAATTAAAGTGATTATAGCCTGAATTTTGCCATAAGTGG